TTTGCAAAGGTAAAAAGAACTTGCAAAATGAAACTTCGTGAGTCTTAATTTCGGGTTCGTCCTAAGACAAGTTGAATAATCTTGTATCCCTGCCTCTTTAATTCATTCATCAAACCTTAATCTCATCTCTTCAAGCTCACAAAAACCACAACTTTGACGATTATTCGATTAGCATCATCGTACACAAAAAGCGAATCTAAACAGTTCAACAAGAAAAGCTTGAGACTCATGAATATTCTGACAGTTCTGGTGTTTGATATGATAATGAAATAATAATAATGATGATTGTGCCAGATTTAAATGATGATATAAAAATTTACATTTTTCAGGTATAAAAAAAATATTTAAGACAAATGTTGTATCCTTTTAATTTAATTAATAACCTCTCAATATGACAGAGAGATTAAGAAAAAATATTAAAAACTCATAAATCTCTTTGGTTTTTGAATTTTCCTTTAATTGGTATTTATGCCATGCCATACATTGTTCCTTTATTCCATTTAATTTAAATTATAAAAAAATGTTTCTTAAGGCTTGGATGCTTCTTTGAGGATTAATTCTTTTACTTTGAGGATTTCTTGGAAAAATTCTTGTGCTTTGAAGCTGTTGACAGCTTAGTCAGTAAGATTTAATTAATTTCGTTTGTCTTCATTTAATTTGTATGATGATGTTTTTATTTAATTTTAAGGAAGTGCATATTGAGAAGTTAATGATTTATTAGGAGTCATTCATAAATGATGTCTTTAATTTAAGGGATTTTCGAAGCTTTGTGATATGATAATCCTGGTTCCATCTCTAAATTGAGATCAGAGAAACTAATCTGAAGATTTGATAAAGCTTTTACCAGCTGAATCCATTTCATAAAGTTAAATATAAGCACCAGAAGCTTTTTAATCGACAAACCAGCCCAGTTTGCAGTTATCTTTATGATAAAAAGGTAACTAAGCAAAAATGTCTGTCATTCAAGAACACGTCTTTAGAATTTTATCGAGAATCAACTTCCACGTGTAACTTGAAAGCTGTTTTTCCATCAAAACATACAAAATGAAGCTCAATATACAATCAAACAGAATTATTGATGACTTAAAGCAAGCATCTGAGCCAAAAGAATTGAATTTCCATATAAATCACTTCCCCTGCAAATCACAATCAGGGTTTCAAATTTCTTATACATAAATACACAACAATACACACAAACACACTTCGTTCTTGTGACACATAATGATGAAAATATTTGTAAAATATAAAATAAAATCAAAAATATGTCAGAAAATATCCGTAAAAAAGGGAAAAATTGCTGATCATTATAAATAAAGAATCTCGTTTCAAAGCCTAAAACAATAAAAAATGATGAAAATAAGATAAATCTATTTAATATGATATGATGAAGGATAAAGAAAAAAACTGAATAAAATATAATTTTTTTAATAGAATATCGATAGATAGTAATAAATAAATAAAGGATAATAAAATTATGTGAGAGACAAAAAAAAATGTGGAATTTGGGATTGAAAAATTTGAGGAATGTTGATGAAATTTTCTATTTAGCAATAATAAAGTGAAAAGGTATTTTGAATTTGGAATTAAAAAATTGATTTTTTTTGAATTTTAATCTTTTTTAATTTTTTTGATATATTAAAATGTTTTTAAGCTTTTTTACTTTTTGAAATTTTTTACAATTTTTTAAAATTTTTCAGTTTTTTAACTTTTTAAACTTTTTTAAATTTTTTCATTATTTTTGCCAATTTTTCCGATTTTTTAAAACTTTTTTCAATTTTTTGAAATTTTTTAAATGTTTTCAAGTTTTTCAACTTTTTGAAAATTTGTTTTACTTTTTAAAATTTAGAAAAAATTCAAAATTTTTTTGTCTATTTTGAATTTTTTAAACTTTTTTGAAATTTGTTTAAACCTTTTGAATTTTTTTAACTTTTTCAAATATTTTAATTATTTCAACTTTTTGCAATTTTGTTTCAAATATGAAATTTTTAATTTTTTTGAATACTTTCAACATTTAGAAATTTTTTATAAAAAAAATTTTAATTTTTGATTTGAAAAAGTAAAATATTAAGTTTTAAAAATTATTGTAAATAAAAAAATCTTTAAAGTTCCAATCAGTATTTTTAAAAATCAACAATTCCTCAAAGTTTTCAATCCCAGATAGATAAAGATAATAAGCTAGAATCAAATTCATCTCTTTGAGTAAAATAATATCAGCATAAACATCAGCAGCAGAAGAATGAGAAAAAAAAATAATAAAAATAAAAAGCGAAGCTAACATAAAGAGATAAAAATATGATAAAAATGCCTATTAAGTGTACTAGACTTATAAAAAAATATTGTAAATGAAATGAAATGAGGAAATTTTATGGTAGAATTTTAATTTAAATACAACCAAAAAAGAAGATAAAAAAGTAAAAAAATAAATCATTTTTATCATATCATGAAAAGTTGTTGCCCTTTTTGTACTTTTTTTACAGCCATTGCAGGTGTTCATATTTGCTTTGATGACGATGCTCACTTTAGAGGTTATGTGGATGTGACGTAATGCTTGGAGGCACATGGAAAGGGTCAAATAATCCAAACCTAACCTCACTGGATTGAAAAAACGTGAATTCACGCTAGAGGGGAAGTCTAGACCTCAACCGAATGTAAAAAGCTTTATACTCTTGCCATTAAACCAAAGGTAAGTTGAGTGAGAGTTTGTCATAAAAGTCTCAGCCCAAAACATCCCAAAACATCCAAAAGACCCCTCGTCTGCAAATTTTAATTTCAGAGCTCCACAAAGAAAAACCGCGAGGATATTTTCACTGCGCAAAAATAGCAACGAAGGTGAAAACTCAGCCTGGTACGAATTTAGAAAATTTTCTCCATTTCCTTTTGATTCTTTTTATGCTTTATGACTTCATTCTTGCTTTATGAATTTTTGAGGCTTTCTTTAAATTTTTTAAAAGAATCTTTTTTTATGATTAAATAAAAAATTTTATTTTCATAGTCCGTAAAATGTCTGTTTGACCTTTTTGAGGAACGCGGAAGATGAAGTCATTTGCAGAATTTTTATGGCGATAATTTGGATGTGAGAAAATCTTGGGTTTGTAAAATTTTTTGGATATTAGGGCTTTATTGATGCTGTCATAAAGGTTGTGAGATTTTTGATGGATGTAGGCTCATTAACATCTGAAGTGTCTGTAAAGGTGAAGTTTTGTGGAGGAAATGATTTTTCTCAAAATTGGCAATGGCACACGAGAAAAACAAGCAACAATCCTTAAAAATTCCTAAAATTCTTCCCACAACAATTTCAACAGCATAAAGACAAAAATTCAATTAAAAGTTCAGATTCCTCTCGAAATAATTCATCATTTCCCTCCCTTAAAAAATATGCCAATTAAAATTAATTCATCCAGCCACAATTCCTAGAAAAAAAGAGCACAAAATATGATTAAATCCACGCAATAATTTACGATAACCATGACTGAATATAATAGAATGATAATAGTAAATATCAGTAAGAAGATTATATCTTGTAATATACTTTACTTAATTTAATTACTTGAAATAGAAAGGCAATCATTATTCATTTGTAAGACACACAAAATTATCGTCTGTGTCACACGATAAAGTAAAAGAAATTGCGTAGTCGAACAGTTTATGAACATCCTATAATCTGATAATGTAACCCTCACACTTGATGGCAAGTAAATGAAATTCGAAGCTTTTCATCGTCTCTTTCTCCATCGTGTTCATCTTTTCTCCCTCCTTTTTGAATGTCTGTCTAGATATTTCTCTGTCGAGGGTTGTTTGTAAATGACGACGCGTGGGAATATAAATTTTTTGAACTCTTTAAACCAGTGTTTCTCAAACTATACTCTGCAATTCTGCAAAAAAAAATTCTAGATGTGTCAATAGTGGTTGCTAGCGTGGTGCGGAAACATAATCTACTGCTCCACGGCTTTAAAAAATTAAGAAACACTGTTTTAAACCATCAGGTTCTTCCTAAATTCTGATTCTTGATCAGTCGTGTTCAACCTCTTTTGTGTTGCAGCTCACTTTGCTGATTAGCCATGACCGCAACGACCCACGGTACACGATTCGTGGGATTTATTGATTTTTTTTCTCGGAAATCAAGTGTATCGCGACACATGAGTTGACCATCACTGTTTTAGATTATAGTATTATTAGCACATCATATCTAAACTCCCCCTTCAAAAGCTTATGATCGAAAATATTTATTTTTCCTATCTTTGAGCAATTTTCATTCATCTTCTTCTATCTTATCTGCTTCGGGTTTTCCTTTATTGAAAGAGCTTTCCAATTACTTTCCCTTAATTACTCACGGCACTTGAATCGCCCAGGCTAATAGCACAAATAAAGAGAGATCGGAAGTGGGAAGCTGATGGGAAAATTTTTATATTTATTTTGTAGTGCAGTTTTAGGTTAGTTTTGTGATTGTTGGATCATGAGAAACTTGAAAAACGCACATAATCTCTACTCTGGTTGCAACTTATAGATACATGAAGTTCTCAATAATATTCTAAAATTATATGAACAATATAATCCTGCTCAATTCATCTGTACCCTTTAATTACCTCAAATGCCATCTTTTCCAATCTCCAAATTGTCCCACAATCATCTCAAATAATTCCGTATCCTATAAGATTCTCTTTAAGCGATGAAAAGATAATTGCAATTGACATCTCCTTGCTTTTACTATCCCTCCTTTAATGTAAGCAAAGAAATCCTTTTAATATTCCTATAATAAATTAGAGATTGATGAGTTGATAAAAGGGGAACTGGATTATAATGAAACCAATTATATAGATCCAATAGAGGCAATAAGTGGATTTTGTATTTACATTTCATGGGATAATGTTGAGTTTATTGTGCTATTGAGGGGGTTATCATCTATTGTTATAAAATGTATCTGTTGTAAGCTCTAGAATTACTTAAGATTACTTTATTTCATTGTCTCATATTTCAAGGAAAAAGGCATTAAATAGGATAACTTAATTAGGCAATGGTAATTTCTCATGTACATATTGTCTCGGCCCACCCTCTGAGAATTCAGCTGCTGAATGATCAACTCCATCTAAAATCCATTTTGTACTTAATAAGCCTTCAACTCCGACTGGACCACGTGCATGTATTCTTGCTGTTGATATGCCAACTTCTGCACCGAGGCCAAATCTATAGCCGTCTGCGAAACGTGATGATGCATTATGGAACACACATGCGGAATCGACTTGTTTTTGGAAATGTTCAGCTGCCGTTTGATTTTCTGTGATGATGACGTCTGTATGTGAACTTCCGTATTTATGAATGTGACGTACAGCATCGTCTACGTCTTTAACGAGTTCAATACAGCATGCAAGATCTCCATACTCGTGCTTTAAATGTTTAGCTTGTGGTGGACCAAATGTTAAGATCTAAAATTGATGGATTGAATTAAATTAAGCGAAAAATAATTTCAATAATTGACTTAATTACTCACTTGATTTAACTTTGGTCCGGAATATATTGTGACGCCTTCGTGTTTGAGCATGTTGCAGACATCGTTGAAGAATGCGGCATTTGAATTATGGAATAAATCTTCATGAATTAGGAGAGTTTCCATTGCGTTGCATGCTAAAATTATGAATGGAAAGTAATTTGAGAGTGGAATTAAGTTGGAAATGGGAGGTCACTTCAAAACGATTTATGCCCCCAGCCTCAAAATTCAAAAAAAAAATAAACTTTAACTTCAAACAAAATTTAACTCACCAGCTGGATAATCACATTTGGCATCACGAACAATCTTCAATGCTTTCGCCAAATCAGCATCACGATCAACGTAGACATGACAAATGCCTTCAGCATGTCCCAAGACTGGAATCCTCTGCGATTGATCCTGAATTGTACGAACTAATTCAGATGAGCCACGTGGAATAATTAAATCAATGTGCTTCTCCATACAAAGAAGATCTGAAATTTCCTCACGTGTCGATATGAGAGAAATGGCATTTGTAGCACCGACAGTGGAGAGTGCCTCTTTTACAAGCTCCATTAATGCTTTATTACTAAATGATGCCTCCTTTCCACCCTTCAATAAGCATCCGTTTGCACTGGCAATCGAAAGAGCAGCAACTTGTGGTAATGAATCAGGACGTGATTCAAAAATTACGAGTAATACGCCAATTGGAACGGTGACTTGCTTCAAAGTCAATCCATCTGCCAATTTTGTGTGACGTAAGACACGTCCAACAATATTGTGACTCGTTTCAGCAATTTGTTTGAGTCCTGTACTAAGGCCCCGCAATTTCTCAGCCGACAATGAGAGACGATTGAGTAAAGGCCTTGCCAATCCATTTCTCTGTGCTTCTGCTAAATCCTTTTGATTTGCATCAAGTATAAAGTCCTTTTTTGATACGAGTAAATCGGCAAGAGTATTCACACAATCAGCACGCTCTGCAGGCGACAAATTTTGCAATGTTCTGCATCCATTGCGTGCATTCTCAGCAAGTGTGTCGGCTGGCAAACTTCCAGTCGTTGTTTCTGTGAAAAATGTTCCAATTTTTCTTCCCTCAACAATTTGTTTGATGGCATTGTCTTGACTTCCATTGCATATCACAACGCTAACGCCTCTATCGAGTGCCCACGTTGCGGCATTCAACTTTGAATCCATTCCGCCTGTGCCGACCTTTGATTTCTTACCAAAGCGTATGTTCTTGCGGTCGTCGCGTGAAAAGCTAATGAAAAATTCATGAATGAGAATGTAATATTTAGATTTTTTGGTTTAGAAAGGATGTTTTGTGGGAATGACGTCTATATTGAAGAATTGAGGATAAATGAATCTCAAATTGGAGTCAATAAAACTCGATACTGATGTTAATAACATCATTAGATGTAAGCAGAATGGAATCAGTGGTATCAAACCATCTTTTAGTACAAGAGTCGAGTCTCTGTGATTAAGAAAAAGACAGAAGGCGTAGGTTCGATTCCCAAAAGATTCTGAACCCTTAATCACTCCACAGTGGTTTTAATATGACAAAGGTTCGCACATTGCTTATGACATTACAAATTCACAAACATTTTACGTCATAAGCAGTCAACCCGATACTTACGTATGCAGTAATCTCGCGTTATCCTCCCACGGTGGCTTATTATAAATTCCATCAACATCTGACATCAGAATTAATAAGTCTGATTGAATTTCAGCAGATAACATTGCGGCTAATGAGTCGTTGTCTTTAATCGATATGCCCTACAGGTTGAAAATGTATTAAGTCATTAATGGGATTAGCTTATTTATAATGAGGATGCAAAAAAAAATCAACGAGAGCACAAGCATAAAATAATTAAAGTAGGACTTACTTTATCATTATGATCAATCTCGTATAAATTGCTCTGAGTGACATTGGCGGATGTAGAGAACATTTTTTATGTGTATGTGTATATTTTGGGGAAAAGCATGAAGGAAATGATAAAGAAAATTGGGTTGGGGTTGAGTGGAATGATGCGGAAGAAAAGAAAAATGAGAAAGCGCAATTAATTTTCATTTTTGCCAATTATTTTAAACGTAATTTATGCTTAATTTGTAAATGCCAATTTTTTATTTTATCGCATTTTTCGAAGCCACAATCGCTAATGTCTGCTCATTTGTCCTGAGTTTTTTTTTCTGTGTCAGATTGAAATTTTATTGATTTTTTCCTGTTTTTTTAAAAGATTGGGAAATTTTAAAGTTTGAGATATTTTAAGGAAAAGTTTTTTTTTGAATAGATAGAAGGAGTTGAAGGGAAATTCAAACTTTAACGAACAAGCTCAAAATTTTACGAAGAAAACTCAAAGTTTAACGAACAAAATTGAAAATTTTAACAAACAAGCTCAAAACTTAACGAACAAAGTTCAAACTTTAACAAAAAAGCTCAAAATTTAACGTACAAAATTCAAATTTCAACGAAGAAAGCTCAAAATTTAACGAAGAAAGCTCAAAATTTAACGAAGAAAGCTCAAAATTTAACGAATAAAATTGAAAATTTCAAGGAACAAGATCAAAATTTAACGAACAAACTTCAAAATTTACAAAAAAATTCAAAATTTAACGAAAAGCTCAAAATGTAACGGTCAAAATTCAAATTTTAACGAAATAGTTCAAAACTTAACGAAAAAGCTCAAAATTTAACGAACAAAATACAAACTTTAACAAAAAAAGCTCAAAATTTAACGAACAAAATTCGAATTTTAACGAAAAAGCACAAAATTTAAGGAACAAAATTAAAACTTAAACGAAAAAGCTCAAAACTCAAAGAAAAAGCTCAAAACTTAACGAAGAAAGCTCAAAATTAAACAAAAGAGTTCAAATTTCAATAAAAGCTTATAAGGACATACATAAAATGATTATCATTGACAGCTAATTGCATTCCATTCCCAAACATTTTCAACTTTGATAAACGCAAGTATAGCGAGCGGGCTCCGAAAAATGCAGAATTAAGTGATACTCATAGCAAGTACCATATATGTAATGATTTAAAGACCAATTATGAGAAATGCTTTAATAAAGTGAGAAAAAAATTTTCCTTCATGCTTCCAGTAATAATATAAATTGTTCATGCATATTTACCCTCTTCGATCCTTTCACGGGATTCTCTTCCTCAACCACAAACATCGGTGGTGTAACGGCATCATTTGTGTTTATAATAGGAACAATATTAAGACTAATTAATTCTGTTAAAGTTGCAAAGAGATTCTTCCTCGTCTCTTCGTTGTAAAAGTCAGGTTTAGTCAGTAAGACTTGTGCAATTCTAACACCATATTGTGCAAACATAGCATCATAAAGTGACATTAAACCAGATTGACCTAACAGTATGTATGTTTACATAAAAAAAAGTTTAAAGTCATTATCGTACGAGATTATTATTATTATAGTAAAGTTATGAAAGGGAACCATTTACCGACAGCTGCTGCTGCTCGAGGCTCAAGAATGTGAGTCGCATCTTCTTTCGGATGTAATGTCTCTCTCATTGTGAGTGTCATTAAAAGCTCTTGAGCAAGTTTTTGCTTTCCAAATGCCACAGCACCACTCGTTACCATTATGCATTCACGTCCTTCTATTTGACACTCGGCAACTTGCTCAACAATCGATGCCAATCGTCCTAATGCTAAGCCATTTTGGTCTTCACGCGTGATTACGGCACTGCCAAGCTTAATGACTAATCGCTTTGCATAACGCAATTGTGAACGATCTGAGAATGTTGTTTGTCTTCTATCGGCTGTTTGTAATGTTCTTTTATCAATTGGTTTCTAAAAATAAATGGAAATGAGATTGCGTGATTTGGGGCTTTATGTGGGTTTTGTTGTGCTGTCCTTGGAGAGATTTTTTATTTTGGAGATATTTTAAGAGATTTGTTGTTGAATTTAATGGATGTGAAATTAATTATTGAGTTAATCTGCTGGAATCGCTTGAATATTACTCATGAGACTGCGTCATGTGTGGAAGCTGGTGATGTGGAGTGAGAATTACAAACTTTTAGGTCATTTAAGGAAGTACATCTGATTTTTGGATGTTGGTGTAGCTAGGTGCAGCTACATAAAGACAAAAGTAAGAGTAGATACAAGAGGACATCCTAAAATAGGTGTAGGGGCACACGCTAAGTAGCATAGAACAGGTGTAGATGTGATAAACAGCCTAGAAATCTAACCTTTGGTTTACAAAGCGATTCGACCTAGACGTGACCTTAGAGTATGACCTAGATGTACTTCCTTGATGCATTCTTGAACACAATCATAGGTTGCCCTTCATGATTACAGTTTCAATAGTTGTTCATTTAGAATTCGTTTACTTATTACATTTTTGATAAAGATACAGGAAGTTTAAAGCTAAACCAGGGTTGCAATACAGGCACCTGTGCACAGGTGAGAACCGTACAATTCCTTGATAATTTGTAAGGTTTTTCTATCAAAACCATATAAATTCTAATAAAACCTCACAAATTATCAAGGAATTGTACGGTGGTTTTTCTCCCGACCTCCGAACAACGAGGTTGTGGAATTGTCAATTTTCCATAATTTAATTATTTACGCGTAGGAACCAGACAGCAAATATAGTTTAAAGTGCATACAAATAACTAAGGAACAGATTAACAAAGGAGAAAACTCAAAAAAGTCGCGATTTAGTTAAATTTGGAGAAACTTTTGAATTGAACAAAAAAGGTGCAAATTTTTGCACATAACCAATACAAAAAATATAAAACGGAATTGATCATCATCGGAATACCAAAGAACATTTAATTACATTGACAAATCACGATCGGCGGCAGTTGTGAGAAGAATCAATTGTTTCACGTGGGTTTTTTGTGTGTTTACCAACATCGTGGACAAGAAGGTTCTATCATAACCAAAACCTAGACATTGAATTTTGTTGGAAACGGATTATCGTCAATTGTGAGGAGAATTTGTCTCGCGATGGGTTTTGTGTGTTTCCCCATATATCGCGGGCAAGTTCTAACAATCAATTGGTGCTGACTGGATTTCAACAAATCAACATTGACAAACAGGAATCGAGCATCTCGGAATACAGCAGAACATATTAATTACAGATCACAATCGAGACATAACAAAAATTTGATTTTTCTTTGTGTATATTTGTAAACTACTATTTGTTTGAACTACCTGGAATTGTGAACGGTCTTTAAATAGCAATAAGCTGATGGACCATAATAAAGTTAATTAAGAAGAAGAAGGAATTGTACGGTTCTCACCTATGCGCAGATGCCAGTATCGCAACCTCCCTCAGCAATGATGCCTAATTAAATTAGAATGTATATTTCTTTTTCTGTGTGCTTTGTAAATAATTTTAGTGCCACCCGGAAACAAAATTATGAATTTAATTAGCAAATTAATTATTGTGAAAATGAAAACATGAAGAACACAAAACTTTTTTAAAAGGAACAAATTTTTGGATGTCTTGCAGCGTTTTTTTGAACCGAATTGATGAAATTTCGTTTTCTGTTCTGTTTTTCGAATAAATGTAAATATAATTTTTAGATTAAGATTCAATTTCAGAAACATTATGGAGCTTGTTTTATGGCTGAGGAAGAAAATTCAAGGTAAACTTTAATTGAGTTTGTGAAAGTTGAATTGCTTGTTCTATTTTGAGAGTCAATTGTTGTTTAATTTGGCTATGCTGCTTCTTTGGAAATTGTTGAAAATGATTATTTTTAAATTATTATAATGACAGAGAAGATGTGGGTTTATTGGACTAGTCTAGTCACATATCTTAGAATATCTAGGTTTAATCGAGAAAATAGTAGGGGGGGGGGGGGGAAGGGGGGGGGGGTGGTATGGGGGTGTGTCAAAGGAAATTCCAGGGATTCAAGACTATATTTTTTGGCTTGAGTAGCTCATTTATAAGGCCGATCAATAATTAGAATTTAAGACTCATCCTCCCCCCCCCCCCCTTTCCCCTTGTCATTCAAAACATTTTTTTTATTGAACTTTCAGACGCTGTTCATTGATGATTACTTTTCATGAATGCATGAAGGCTTCATCTATTACTAAGCCTTGTCTGGGGTTGTTCACAAATGACTTCAGTCGAAAAATAGCAAAAACAGGATTTTGAAACCCCCCAATTTTATCCAGCCCCACAATTCCTGAACATAATGATTTTTGGAGAACCCTTCAAGCCATTAACTGCACTATTGTCCATGAACTTTACTCCGAAAATTGAAAATGTCAAGTTCCTTCATCACTAGAAGATTTATTTAATAGATTAATTTATTTCTGTTAAATGACTTCCTACGAGATTTGTTTGACAACCTTTTAATTTAAAACTTGTCTGTATTACGTCATATCAATTACAAATTTAATTAAATATTCAATTGATGATTCAATTTATAGCATGGAAGAACAATTAAAAAGGATTGTATGTGATTCTGGAATGATCGATTGTATTACTGTGATAAGAGCTTGCAAAGTTCATGCAAAAAAAGCAAGGAAATGAAAATTCTAAGTGCTTTAGGATTCGCGCTTAATATTATTGCTTTTAAGATTGAATTAAACGAGAAATTGGAAGTAAAATAATGTTTTTTTAACCCATCAGTTAAAGCTAATCAGTTAAAGTCTAATCTAGACCAGGGTTGCGATACTGGCACCTGTGCACATGTGAGAACTATATAATTCCTTGATAATTTATAAGGTTTACAAATTCTATTAAAACCTCACAAATTATCAAGGAATTGAACGTTTCTCACCAATCACATTCAAGCATAAAAATGCGAAGCTCAAGTAAGTAAAAAATTCTTGACAAAGTTCACTGATTTAATTGCATAAATCTTCATCCTGACATCGCTTTTAAAATGCAATCTCACAACACAAATTGATGTGAAATTAAATCAACAATGTTAAACAACACGAGGGAAAATACTTGACTCAATAATTCTTTAAATATTATTTAATGATATGGTTAATGCTTATAGTCATACACAAGCAGACACTTTACTTCTCTCACTTATTGCTCTTTTCATAGGAAAACTTTTTTTTTATAATTGAAGAGAAATGAAACGAGAAATAAAATTACGTCAACAAGAATATCATAAATTGAACGCGTGAAGCTTTGTATGGCTGCATATTTACATTCGCTACATTATAAAATCACGTGTCAATTTAATTTCCTTGATGCAGTTCTAGAGATAAGAGTTTTGTTATCTTGCCAGAATCGTCTAGCTGTCTGCGGTTTTAATTTTCTTGTTTTTAGTGGCTGGAGGAACCTTGAGCTGGTCTCATAGTATTAAGTCATTCAATATTCTGAGATCATACACGGTTTTCTATATGATGTTTATTCAGACCCCCCTGAGTTCCACACCCAAAGTTATATAGCATTGGAAATACTGAGTAATGCAGTGGTTCGCACACAGTGTGCCGTGAAAAAAATTGATTTCTCAAATTTGCCCTATAATTTCATGTTTTATGCCTTAAAAATTAAAATTTCTGAACGCACCCATCACGTGTTTTTCATATGAAATAAAACAATCATTAATTATAGTATAAATACACTGTTTTAAGACTTTTAACTGTTTGGCCATCCAATAACTCGATAGAACTGAGCTAATAAAACAAACCCGACCTCTCTACGATGTCTGGTTAAAAAGTTTTTCTTGGCCCGAGTAGCCGAACAGACGAACAAAGTGTTTTATTAAGCTACCTTTTAGAAACAAGTTGTCGCAAAAAAATGTATGTAAAATAATGTGCCGTGGACCAAAAAAGTATGAGAAACACTGGAGTATTGTATAAACTCATAAAAGACATTAAATTGCCATAGAGATGCAAGTATCTTCATCAAACAAAACAAATCTGGAGAAAACCAATGCAAATTACCTGACAACGTAAACTTTTTAGTAAGGAAGCTACAAAGAAACTTATACTTCAGTAATTCTAGCTACTTTGTTGTTCTGATTTAATTTATTTAAGTTTTGTAAGTTGTCTCTTTTAAAGTGATGGTCATAGACTTTCTTTGTCATGCACAACTCTGAATAGCACAAGTCGGTTAATCGAATAGAAATCCAGCACCAATGCTGCGTGAATCTGAGATGAAAATTGCTTGCTTGGCTCAGGATTTAAGTCCATTTTCATGCCAGAGTCACGCAGAATTGGTGCTGGATTCTCGTGCTATTCGTTAACTCTTGATGTCTTGATGATTGAATAAGGGTTGTTCTGATTAGTTGTTGTTATAAATAAAGGAGCATTTAAATGCGTTCCATCCATCACACACTCAAAAAACCTTCAAACTTGATCTCCCCTAATGAGTTTTTATTAAAAAGAACTTTGCTCTCATCTTTCTCCTTCAACCTCTTCTATTATGACGCTTATTTTGATTATTTTATGACAGATAATATTATTGTTAATGAAACTGAAGCGTGCATGCTTACAACTGCATCAATGACATTTTCTGTTTTCCGATAGTTCAAAGTATTTTATTCATATAAATTTTTCAAATATTTTTCATGTCGATTAAATATTTTTAATATTAAATTCCGGCTTTAATGAGTCAAAATTCAATTATGAATAAACATTTTTTACAGTTGAAATATTTATGCATTAATTTAATTAACTTTATGATAATATCAAGCACAGCATGTGCATCATGTAGCTTTTAAAATTATAGACACAATATGTTGACCTAAATATTGTCAATTGAAAATTGTTTCAAAAACATAAATACAATAAATATATTCTCGCGAGCCTCTATGCTCCGAATTCAGTTGCTACTGATAACATGGTTTTGATACTTCACATACATTTTAATTGGCGAGCTCAGTCAACAGAGTTTATTGACCGGCTTTAAAAATAAAAACATTAAAAAATGTTTGAGAGAGAATTTTGGGCTTTCCTGAGGCGTAGAAATTTTGCGGAAGTGATTTGATTTAATTTAAGAGTTTTATTGATACTTAATCTATGGAATTGGATTTGCATGATTAAGATAAGTGGGATTGTAGTTCAAATTTTGAAGTATCTTACAGTGTAGCTATATTGATAGGCATTCTAAGATGATTGGAGGCTAACAAGTTGCTGATATAATTATTTAGCAGGCGAGTGGAGTAGGTTTGGACTCTAAAGGCATAAACCATGCTCTTACGATAACGTATGTGCATCAATAAGGATAAATTTTAGTTAAATTAAGAACCAAAATCTAGAGGAAGACCAAAGAATACCTGGATTGGATGTGTTGATGAGGACGCTAGAGTCCTTAATATTTCGAACTGGCAGAAGGTGTCGAAGAATAGAGATGTCTTTAGACAATCTCTGAAAACAGCAATGGGCCCTACGTGCGCCCCAGCCAAGGAAGTAAAAGTAAGTATGTAAGTAAGAAGCAAAATTGCTTTGATAGCTCAATTGGCAAGGTACAGGTCACAAAATTTGATACTGAATTTGGACTCCCGAGTTCGAATCTGACCATCAGCCTAATGATTTTTCAGAAGTTAAGACACTTCGGCTTCTTAGGTGCAGCAGAAGTTTAAGACGGACGTACAAAAACATCTAGCAATTACTTACAAAACTTCAAAAAAACGAGTCATAACACAATTTTAATTTTAGTTCACTGACCTACTGACCTCCAAAAATCATGAAATTAATTCCGTACATTACTTGTTCTGGTTAGCAACCTAGAAAATATCATGAATGCACGTAAACGATTTTAAATTGATACTAAATTGCTCGATTTATGTTCGTAAGATCATTTCTAGTTGAATCTTAATTTTGACAACCTAGGGCCAAGAAACGTTTGATTTAAAACACTATTTAGGCATAGATTTAGCCAGCAATCTCCTAGAAGCTCACATAAAGATCTCAATTTCCAACTTTTCAAGTCGACAAAGCTCCCCACTGTCACATAAGATCACATAATTTTTCCACAACACATTCGTAAGCACAACAACCTGTAGCTCACTTTTAAAACAATTTTCCAAAAATTACTCACAATTAATCCATCTTTTCCTATTGTGACATTACACAGCGATCTGACAAATGATTTATTTGCAAAAATGCTATTAAATTTTGACAAGTTCTTTGTTAATCCCTTGGCGAAAACTTGAGACATTTTCAAAAGTTGAGCTTTTCCACAAAATAAAATAATAATAAGTTCCACAAAGTTCCAAATTTGATAAAAATTTACACAAAAACTTCTTCTTATTTTCTTAAAATAATAATAATTTTTTTGTTTATTTCCAATTTCTTTTTCCTCTACTCCTCGGACTGATCAGACAGAGCTCTCAAAATGAACTGTTTGAGAAAATTTACAACTCGAGTGACTTATTCAATTTTATTCAGTTCTTTCTTTAAATTGATGAGTGAATTGATAACTCTCCGGCATTTCTCGTTACATTATACACAATTGACACATTTACATACACATGGCTGATTAGAATTCGAGAGAGAACATCTCTTATCAGTCAGCACTGCTGTCTAGTACTGACTGTTCCTTAGTGATTGAGAAGTAATAATAATAAAAATTCTTTACAGCTCAAAATCACCTGATTGAACTGCAAAAATATAGAAATGTTCAGACTTTGACCTTATTATTGGTTTGTGTATGGATTATCATTGATGCATGCATAATGTGACTTGATAAGAGCTTTTGTTCTGCCATGAGTCATCGATGATGATTTGTTGAATTAATGATTTTGGATTAATCGGAGTTTTTAACTGAGCATTAAAGCTTTTGTGATGATGGTGATGTTTGTAGATAAAGTTTGTTAAAGCAACTAGTGAGGATGCGCCAAACCACTGCACTCAAACCTAGAACTACAGTTTAAAGTGGGATCCGAATCACTCATTTGATGACATCACTCCTTTGATGGCACTGCTGCCTGCAGTCTAGTAAATAAGATGCAATTGGTTCGGATCCCACTATAAACTGTAGGTTTAAAGAGTTTGGTACAATTGATTCTTTACAAATTGAATCGCAGTGCCTCCAGCAGAAAGGCTGGGCCCTTCACACATTATTATAAATATGATTCGAAAAAGGACAAACGAAAAATTTCCCATGCCGAGTCTCGAACCCATGATCGCTGTATGAGTTTTGCAATAATTAGGTACGAAGTACTAAACCATTCCACCACCGAGACACTTTAGCTCACTTAAGGTATATGATTATAGGACGTCATAAATGTACAACCCCTAATATTAATTCATAAATTGGAACCAGTAACTTGTCATAGAGTAAGGAGCCCCTGAGATGTATACTATCTTGATATGTTCTGTTGCTTTTATTATCCGGGAAGTATGAAGCATTAAAAAGTCCGAGAAAACAGTCACTATGATTGAATAGGTTCTGCATAGAGCTCTGTGTCAGCCCACATGCTAGCATGGTGACTTATTTCAAAGACTTTTTGGTGCCGTGTGCTTTTCAGATTGTTGTTTCAGCAAGTGATCAAAAGGTCCGAAATTTAATTCATTATTTTAGTCATCAGTCAATTCCACCCATTTTGAATATAAAAGTTAATTATAAACGGGACAGAAGTTTATGCAAAATTTTCGATTTACTTCCCTCCCATAAATTAGCATTTACACAAACACCTGTACAGCTATAAAAAGTCATCCGTGAATTTAAATTAAAAAATTTCCTAAAATTTTATTTTTATTCGATTTTATTTAAATGTGGATATATAGCTAGTAACAATAAATAAGCACCTCGAATCCCTTATTCACATGAAAGTCACATAAATAAATTGCTTAATACTTGCTTCATACCATAATAGAAAATACATTATAAGCTCCTGAATCAAACATAATTCTCATTACATTTTCCTATTCAAAATAATTTCATTGATATTTGACTACGTGATATATAATAAGTAAGCATAGCTGAAAGGAGCTGTGAATTGAATTATTTAATTTATTGGTTGGTTATTAGCATAATAATTCTATCTCTTTTTGATTTGGTAATTTATTATTATTAAAGCATTAATGAATTATTTTCACTTCTATAGAACTTCTTGTTGTTGTAGACATTTGATGTTTAGTGCGATAATAAGTTGCTGACTGCTTTGAATAATTAAAAGATCATTCAACTGTCTGAGTTGTGAGACAATTTAGTCTAGTGCAGTGATGACCAACCTGTGTACCGCGGCACACTAGAGTGACATGAATAAATTTGGGATATCCGTATGCTGTGTGCAACTTAGTCATGGCTTATCAACAAGTTTGCTGTGGCACAAAAAAGATTGGACAACACTGGTTTAGTGAAGTCCATCGTCTATACTTAGATTCTAAGATAGGCTAAGGGGTGGACTCAACCACTGTCCACAACTAAGATTATCATATGTTGAGTGAGAAATCATGGAAATCTGGTTTAAATAAACAAAAAATTGTAAAGTTACAGAAATGAAATTGAAGTTGATTTACTAGGTTAAACATAAAAGTGCATCAACTATTGAAGATCTCTTAGATTCATCTATTTCTAGGATTTTGAAATAAATTCAAATTGATTCAATCAAACGTTGTATGTTGAGAACATTAAAGATGATATTTGAGTTCATGACAAGTATTATCAGATCTTTGTAAAATTCTCTAAAAGAAAATGCAAATATTGCTTCAAAAGCTCGGGCATCAATTTCGGTTAGAACCTTTAAGATTATTAAACTGTTATTCATATAGTAAATAATAATTTTTCATGGGGAATGTCTCAAAAGAAAGCAAACAAATCGATGATGGTGCTAATTCGAAAGATGTATAAGTTATTGTTATTCAGGGGCGTAGCCAGGAATTTGAAGGGAGGGTACAAATTTTTTTTAAAGGATTTATAGTATTTTTTGTTAAAAACTCTAGCAACATGAAGGAATTTTTTATTGACATAGGGGGATCTGTCACCCCCTGGCCACGTGCCTGTTGTGATTCTTTCAATCTATTTTGTAAAAGAATCAATACATGGGTTGGCGAAGGGGGGGGGGGGGGGGGAGGGGGGTGCAGTCATTTATTTACTATGTAATAATATTCAGTAATGATGAGGAGTGTGGATAACTTGCCCCTTTTCCCCCTAACCATAGAAAGTGTCTAAGACTTGAATTAGTAAGTCCATTTGTAGAAGCAACGAAGTTCCCGTCATTGCAAAAAACCCAGCTTTACTATTTACATACATCTTCTTTATATATCGAGTTATCGTAATCAATCTCAATCATTTAGAACTTGGGTGTCAGTGAGTTAAGATTCCCGAAATGAAGACAACTTGTGTGATTTTTGCAATTCTTTCTGTAGTTGCTATCACAAGCTGTGCTGGTCAATGTAAGTATCGCTGAAATCTTATCTTAATTTAAGTAAGAAATCTAATTTTTAGATTATTGTGGAAGTAACTTGCATCAAGTTTATCTAAGGTTTGGAATTCACAGCATAGCATTCAATGTTCAAGGATGTTGGTCAGCTTCATATATCAGAAGCACATGTGACATAAGCTTTCATAACTCAGAAGCAACGATTGCAAGCATTCCGTTAACAAACAGACGGAAAAGACAGGCATTGTTTGGAGGTTCTATTGCTAATTTTGTCACATCACTCTTCAGTGGAACTCACCTAGATCAAAGTGGTCTTTCTTATCCATTCACCATTAACCAATATGTGGAGTCACTTCCGAAGAATTCTTATCTTTATGCTATTATGACAGATGGTGAGTAGCGTCCTTTGAATTGTATTAAGTTATGAATTCAAGTTTGTCATTTTCAGCACGATACGCAAATGAAGGCATTCCATTTTGTGAAACTAGACTGATTGCTCCGTTGTGGTTTGTAGAAATTATTTAAATTTAATTTTTTTTAAATAATTTTTTTAAACTTTACTAAGGCGCCATCATGCAGCACTAGGTGGAAGACAAGATATTTGGTAGTAAGTATTTTGAACGATTAGAAGTATTGAGGCATGAATAATATATTCTTCAAATATTCTTTCAGTTACTATCGACGCGATGGAAGTAGAATCCTAATTGCATTTAATAAGGAATGTCCATATGCTTGCCTTACGAATTAGGAGTGGATGGCATTTAGATTCAAGTATATATTATATAAAATTTTAATTAAAAAGTAAAAAATGTGCATCTGAATAAAGCCAAATGGTTAGATAAGTTGAAAGGTTTGGCAATAACTTGTAGAACTAAGAACGAAACCAAAATCTAGATACACTCGAAAGCATATTGTGTTAGGGTTTAGACACGTGTTTAAACCGTTAAAAAATTATGCAAACATATTTTTTGGGGTTTTTTTTTCGAAAACAACAAAAAATAGAAGATTTTGATGTAAAAGATTTGCCACGTGCTGTGATTTTTTATAGTATTTTTTTAAAATATCAATGGATCGACACCTTTTGAATTGGATAAAATAAATTTCAAAGAAAAAAACTAACAGAATGTTATTCAATGTCTTTTAATCCTCAATTGCCTCATTAGCTGCACCTTAGAGCCTAGGTCATACCCTTCAGTAGTTCCTACGATAGTTTAACATTATCAATAAAGATTTGATCACTTTTCTCAAAGATAAAGTTAAAGACTAAAGTAATAAGTGTCTTCACATTGTAACAATAATAATAATTACCTTTGTTGTAGCTTAAAAAATTTCCCGTCAACACAAAAAACCAGTTTCTTACTTACAAAGCTACAAACATCTTCTTTTAGTTCTGATTTTTTTTTCGGCAATCCTAATCATTTAGAGTTTGAGCGTCTGTGAGTTAAGAATTCCGAAATGTTCAAAACTGTTTGTTCGATTTTTGTGATTCTTTCTCTATTTCATGTCACAAGTTGTACTGGTCAATGTAAGTTCTAAAAAAAAATTCATCAAATTTCACAAAATAAAATTTTAATTCTCAGATTATTGCAGTGGAAGTAACTTCAGCCCCCTCTATCTCAAGTTCGGAGGTCACACAAGAGCAATCAATGTCAGAGGATGCTATACAGCTTCATACGTCAAAAGCACATGTGATATAAGCTTCCATGACTCAGAGGCAACAATTGCAAGCATTCCATTTAGAACTAGACGAAAAAGGCAGACTTATTTTGGAGGTTCTGGTGCTGATATTTTTTCATCGCTATTTAGTAGACCTCCAGCTTATAACAGTGGACTTACTGTGCCATTTAATGTTAATCAGTATGTCAATTCACTTCCGAGGAACTCTATATTGTATGCTATTATGACTGATGGTGAGTAGAATCAATTGATTGCGAAATATTGCTTGAATTGATCAAGACAGTGAAGTTGAAATGGTTTTGGAAGCTGAAGTAAAATCAATCCGGATTAGACTACTATGGGTCCTCGATTTGAGTAGATTCGATTTGAATAGGATTTTTCGGGAACAAAATACCTACTCAAATCGAAGACCCCCAGTACTTCAGATTTGATTGAGGTTCCAATCAACTTATTTATTATTTTCCTCTTGTACTAAAACCTTTAAGTATCTTTAAGCTGACATTCATGTCCTCTATTCTTTCAAAAAAAATATCTGGTCACGCTACCTTTAAGTCAACCTTTTGATATTTATTAAACCTTAATTTAGCTAGAGCAGCTGCTTACTATAAAGGAATTCCATATTGCGAGAAGAATCTGATCGGTCCACTATGGTTGGTATTACTTATAACCAGTGTTGCAAATGTAGATGTCTACACTAGATGAAGAATGTAGATTCTTCAATAGTTTTTGTCTAGCTAAGAAACTTTCTTCATAAAGATCGATTCTACATGTAGAAAGAAAAAAACCATCTACATGTAGATTGTGTCTACATGTAGAATCTGTCTACATGTAGATTCGATGTAGATGTCTATAATTCTACATTTTTTCCAGGTCTACATCAGAGAAGAATGTAGAATCGTAGACATCTACATTAAATCTACATGTAGACAGATTCTACATGTAGACACAATCTACATGTAGATGGTTTTTTTCTTTCTACATGTAGAATCGATTTTATGAAGAATATTCTGTCTCAGAATTTATCTGATCCAGACAAATAGCCAGAATGCAACACTGCTTATAACATAATGTTAATTGAATATCTATAAAATCTATAAATTTTATTTCTTTAGGCAACAACAAGCATATTTACGTGGACGACAAGACATTTGGTAGTAAGTACAATGATAAATCATGTTTAGGATCTCAATAAATTAAGATTAAATAATAAAATTCTCTACTTCCAGTTACCAGCGACCTGATGGAACAAGAAAAATTATTGCATTCAATGCAGAGTGTCCTTATTCTTGCCTTACACAATAGTTGACGAATTCATTGGATTTATCATCCTTCCAAGGGTGCGGAAGATCAAAAATGGTCAAAAAATGATCAACATATAACAAATCAGTTCCATGCCCATGCATCCTTCATAATTTTTAATTTACTATTCATCACATTATTCTCTTAAAAATTAAGACAAATAAAACCGAATTTTCCATAAAAGTTCGTCGATATCACTTAAATAAATTGTTGATAATTTTTCAAATTAAAATTCAAGGTAAAAAATTAGATGAAACCTCAGAAATTTGTTGCAAAGAGTAATTAAACTAATTATGAACTTTTCGCCACATTTCAAGAAGGATAATTAAGTAACTTAATAAACATGTTGCCTAGCATCAACTTGCTGAATACATCAGCAAATGAGCTTGAAGAAAATTTTGATAGAACATCAGCCACAAATTTTACAGCATATAGTAACACATTCAGTCATTAATAATACTCTACAGTTATGTTATATTTTTGCCATACACATTGTCTTATGCATGGATGTAAGAAGTCTAAACATCATTGAATAAAGCATGAAGAAATAAATTTAATTTAACGCATTTCTTTACATCTGGCTGAGCTGAATTTTCGGAAAACTGTGCCAAATGCTTTTATGGGGGGTGTTCGAAAATGACGTCTTATTTTCTGAGATGAGAGTCTGCAGCTCTTTGGGGAACTAGTAATCGGTGAAATCAGTAAAAACATTTAAAGACAGCTTCTTGCTTACTTATAGATCATTTGTGAATCATGGCCTCCCTTAGATGGTGCCTAAAGCTGGCTCTATCGCTGCGCCTACCGTTTGCTAATTGCCCATACCCAATGCAATACTGTTTCTGTCAACAGCTTCTTTCCAAGAGTTCTTGGGACGCCTGCGTGATCTTTTGTCATCTACAAGACAACTTCTTAGTGTAACTTAACTTCAAATCCAATCAAACCAACAGTTTGACATCATTTTCTCACGACCCCATTCAAGAAGTTTATGCATTCATCTAAATTCTAAGTCTAAATGAAATAAAATAAATCATATTACTTACATTTAGCATTTACATACCGTATAATGAGTTTACTAATCTAAATATCATTTCGCACATCTGTATGCAACACATTTCATTGAATTTGCTTATAATGTAATAAATTAAGCTGGAATATTCATTCATATTGTGAGGCTGTTATAGCAAACAGTATGAAATAATCTATTTTGAAGCAGTTGGAGCTCTCTTCAACATTAAGGATTCTTCTATTATCATTTGAAGAGGGAAAATGTTGATTTAATGCATTTTTCTTTAAAATATGGAATCGTTGAATTTTTGCAGATTTTACTGGGTCATCTATTGAAGTGCTTGGCAGGGGCGTAGCCAGGAATTTGAAGAAGGGGTACCAAAAAAAATTAATATGGAAAATTCAGAGGGAAGGGGGGGTTTTTATAATTTTTTCATAAAACTCCTAGCAAAATGAAGAAATTTCTGTTAACGTCGGGGGATTTTTTTCCCAGATCCTTCCCCCCCCCCCCCTGGTTACACGCCTGGTGGTTGGCAATTGGTAGTGATATCTTAGCATTTTTCAGTGATGTAAAGATAAATTTCTTAAAGTATGTTCGATTAGAGGAGTCCAATTGTGGGTAGCGTAGGAGAATGAATGAATTCTTCCATTCATGGGAATTGAACTCATGCTTCAGATTATTGTAAGACATGATGTAACAGAAATAAGAATAACTCTTCAAATAATTGATCCCGAGTGGGATTCGAACCCACATTCCACGATTTTTGGTCGAATGCTCCTACCACTGAGCTGTTGAGGGTTATCCGACTATATAACTTTATGCCATATATAAGTTTCAATCTAGTCTGTCTCTACTTTCTGTGCCTGATGATCTAGGTCTTGTCATTGTTAAAGTCATGACTATAATACTTACTTTGATGACCTTACATATCAATTGTGATCCATGGTCTTTCTCAGATGCTGCCAAAAACGGGCTCTATCGTTATATTTCAACAAATTCTATGAAAAGGTGTCAAATAGTAAATTGTAGAACATAGTAAAAGAATACTACCTTGAACTAATGTCTTAAAGCACAAGAGGTCCTCGATTTAAATAATTCAAAGGAAAAGATAATAATCAAATTAAAAGTTAAGGAAATCGAGAATCCATTTGTATATAAAATTTAAATTCAATGCTCAAACTGTATCTTTCCATCCAAAAATCATGCCAACAAGCTTTTTTAATCATTCATAAATTCCCCAACCCCCCTCAGATGAAACAGCAATCTATGTTCTATGGTAAAACTTTTATTGTACATTGAAAAATTTATGTCTTCAGCCAAGTTTCTATAGTAAAAGTTATGGCAGATTGTATTGTACAATAAAAAAAATAAAGTTAAAGATTATTTTCAATGCGCATTATCTGAGCGAAATTGAATTATCTGTAAACTTTAAAATTAATTAGTAATGAAAATTTTCCATTCAAATGTAAATTTATTTTATACTTAATTTAAAATTCCAAGTAGCAGTTTAGTTACAAATTCTTAAGCATCCCTGCTTAATGAGTCATGAGGAAATGAATCTTGAATTAATTACTGTTGGGATAATGTAAATTGATTAAATTATGGATGAGATGCATGCCTTGAAGGATGAGAGTTATGGGAAATGGAGCTTATAGCATGATCAAAGAGTCTTAGGATGATAAAATACTGAGAAACTTTTAACAAGACAAATATTTCATGAGAATTCACTCAAAAGCTTCGATATTTTTAGGTATTTTTTTTTTTTTTTTGTTTTTTATGACTTTGAAGATATGGAAACAAAACGATTGTTGAATGGTAGACATAAAAAACAGCCTACGTCATTGAGTGGTTGCTTGATTCTGTTGGTTTACTTGTGCTATTTTTAGAAAAGACTTAAAGTCAAGTCATGACTATGGGAAAATTGAATTATTAAGTCTTTTAGTTAAATTCACGAAATTTCAACTATCCAGAACAGCTAAAATTCCAATTATATCCATAACATATTCCTACACTCCATTGATGATCAATAAAACCAATCAAAATATCAATTTTATTTTATGAATACAGAAACACAAACTCATCAACCATCAAACTTCATACTTTTCATATCGAAACTCCACAAAAATTTTATTTCAATAATTACAACAATTTCCTATGTAAAAATGTTTACCATGAATTGAAATTTCCTCGCTCCAAACCATCATCATCATAAATATTAAATCAACTGAAGCACATTCAGTCATTGTGTAAATTGTCTATTAAATGATTTTTCATCATATTTGTTGCTTCTCGTGAAAAATGATGAAGATATTATAATTTTTAATGTAGTTTAATAATGTGCTGCTGCTGTACAATGAACATGAATTCAATTATTGATTAAAACCACCATGCAATAAGCATGATTCTCATGTAGTGATATGGCAAGGCATGTGCACTTCAAAGTCCTCGATGCAGTTTATTGGCTTTGCTAATTAGGTTGAATTTTTTTTTTGTCACGAGTTGGAGGTAAAACCACAAAAGTCATGTCTGGTAGTTAATTTTAAAATGTCATGTGGAACATGTCAAATATTTATCGGACAGCACATCGTAAATTATTTAAAAATTCCTTAACAAAAGGTTTAATGATCCAGTTTAAGTTTATGATTTATGAAGTTTAATTGTTGAGTTTCAGCTTAGCGACTGAATTTTTTCTGAAGAGTCACGACAACACTTGTAACTTTATGTCCATTTCGTGTTACCTGCAACCTTTTTATATGAAAGTAAAGCTATTAGCTTATAGGACGGCGAAAGTGATCTTGAATAAATTCGGGCAATGTTTTTTAAAGCTTTAGTCAGCTGTTGTTCAAATTTATACGTTATCTTGTGGACCATGTTGTAATCATGTGCTTAAGATTCACATTTAGGCTTTGGTGACCGAATTTTAGTCAAGTTATTCGCATTTCTTTTGTTCATGGTCAGGAATGTGAACCAACCCTTGTTAAATGGACTAAAGTATAGTTATGAAAGCTTGAGCTTTTGATAGGAATTGAACCCACGTCTTTGCGAAATAAAGAGCAGCAGATATCTTGCCTTTTTGATAACTACTCAGCCACAGAGGTTTTACAATCGCACTGACAGATTTTGATTGATATCAATCGCATCAATTGACTCTAAATTCCCGAAAAATTTTCACCGACATAAAACCTTCATAATATGATAAGTAGCCCCCCAATAAAAGTACCTCTACCTTGCTGTAATCAACATTCTGTATTTCATGTCTATAAATTCACATCACAATTTGTGTTTATAACAAATGTACACGAAATATTGATGAAGCTATATGTATGTACATAATTATGTTTGTGGAGTTAGAGCAGCGTAAAGCAGCAACAACGAGAAACATTAACTTTTTGTTTCCTTTCCTATTAAAACATTCACAAACTTTTTACACCCACGAATATGACTGCGTAGAATAATGTGAACAATAGAGAAAGCCTGAAAAAGCACAACAGACACATCAATATTATTGTAATCTCGTGACTTCTTCTATGGTAAACCAAACAATGATAAGCTATTTTCGTTACGCTGAATAATTCACGAACATTTCAGTCTTGCTTCCCTTTTCCATTTTTTATTTGTGTATTTTTTTCCTTCTTGTTCCTATTTTTTGGAAACTCAGATGGTCTAATAAATAAAGTTGTATATAAGGTTTTGTTTTGTTGTTGCCATTTGATGGTTCTGTTGCTTTCTTCTATGTCATTATCATTCATATTATGACGCTTATTGAAAAATGTAGAAAGAAGAAAATTCAGTGACATGAATTTTTTTTATCTTCTCTGCTTGTAAGGATTGAAAGTTCTCATGAGGAATCGTTTGGATGGTAAAATTCTTGTGAGCTAATCATGTCTTCTCGTCTGATATGAGAAAATCGTTGAACTGAAGTCGCTAGAACAGTGATGGCCAACCTATGAGCAGCGGTACTCTAGTGTGTTGCGAAAAAAATCTGTAAATTGCAGTTCGGTCATGATTTATCACCAAGGTGCGCCATGGTCCAAAACAGGTTGGACACCACTGGACTAGAGTATTGTTTCAGGTCTATGTTTATATAATGAACCCTATAAACCTACTCAAAGCAAATTATTTCCTTAATGAAGTCTTTATGAGACCTTAATCTTGCCCAAACCTCAATTTTCCTCTAAAGACATGATTCTTTCCTTAATCTAATTCTTCAAAATGCGCCCTACCTCCATCCACATCCAATCAACACTTATGTGAGCTCTCTGATCCATGATGTATGCTAAATATGCTATTAAATATGTATGTAAACATGAAATCATGCATTGAATTGAATCTATTCAAGAAAATTTCCTCCTATATAGATTTTATCAATAGCAGAGCTGAAGACTTAAATCGACAGAAGAGAAGTCTGAGAATGAACAGTTCATTCAGTCTCATTTTATGCCTTTACAAAATGTAAAAAAAGAAGTAAGAATATATCATTCAAAATTTCATCCCTTTCAAAATGCATTATTAATAAATCCTTTACAGTCAACGCTCCCGCAGTGAGGTTACCAATATACAAAGACATGATTCACATTGAACGAGCGTATGCCTTTCTACCCGTAATGATGATAATAAACCTTATGACGAGTAAAATGCGAGAGAATCAAATAAATGTTGCTCGTAGGTATCACACAAGATATAATAAATATATAAATATGATGTAGGGAATGAAAATCACATTTCATTTTAGAATTTTGTCATATATACAATCTCAGCTGGATGTACTTAGATGATGATATCGTATGCAATGAATGATAAATTTTTCAAAATGCTTCCTGTTCATTCTCCTTTCTCACATCCTACCCATCTACACATTCGTGATCAGAAGGCTCTTTTTGTGTATGCTTTATTACTGCTCCTCTTGCTTTCTGCCTAATTCTTTCGTCACCTTGTCTGGGATGTGAGCTGACTGTTGTGGAGTTGTGCTGATTTTTGAGGAATTTAATTGTGATTTTTGGGAATCGAACCTAATCTTTAGTACACATTAAATTGTTCAGTTTGTTGCTTAACCCCTAGAGACCATAAAGGCCTTACTCTCGCACTGGCAGATTCACTTATAAGTAGCCATAAACAACAGAATCTATTCTGCTTGGACACCATAAGAAGCTACAATATATATTCAATAATTCCCCAAAGTAACAAAACTTTAAAGTGTCCAGAAATAAATGAATCACGAGTTATCAATAAGTTTTAAAGTTCCAGCTACAAAGCTCTTCAGGGATTGAAACAGAAACTCCAAAGTGACTGAAACCAAGCACAAACCATAATGCACATCCGATCCATCAGTTTTATACTGCAGCCCCAAAGCATTCAATACAAATATTTTCAATCAATACGGAACTTCACAAAAGTTCCAACATCATCTCTCCACCTCTACATCGTCTGCTCAGTAAGGAAGAAAATACTTAAGAGATAGATGTGGATACACATCTGAATGAATGAAGGTAAGGAGAAGATAATGAATAAATAAATAAATAAAATTTATATCATGAAATTCATTTCGTAATGAAATAATTCTGCTTTAACCTAATTCTATATGTGAATCAAGTGAAGCAGATGCTCCTATTGCTTTTGCCATGTTTTATTTAAATTAATCTCCTGACGCAGTTTTGTAATTCCTACTCTGAGTATATGTACAAGGCATAAATGTGTATGCTTTCTCTCCATCAAGCATTAGAGTATCGTTTTGGGTTTTTTTGGCAATAAAATTTGTGTAAATGAATCAATGGATTACTGATGTTCCTAATATTATTATGTCGGGTATCAATCAAATATCGTGTGCTTCTTGTGTGTGGAAGCTGAAAATTTTGATTTTTAAGTCAGCCAAAGATTCCATCATTTATCTACCAAAGTGATTTTAAATGTTCGAAAATTCGAACAATTATTATTTTCATCACTTATCAGGTGCTTAGCCAGGGGAGGACTAGGATGACAAATCCCCACCCCCATCCAAAAAACTATTTGAATTATTTTTTCTACACCCCTGTCACATGCTGAGCCATTAGTCATGAAATGTTTAATACATTAAATATTGTAATGGAAACATCTAAAGATAAATAATCGAAATAATTTCATATTTGCTCCCAATACCTAAATTACAGTTTAATGAACTATGTAATAGTTCTATTGTTGTATCAACTAATCTATTGAGGATAATATTATATTATTACAAGCTAAACATAGGGTGACCATCTAATTTTTATGAAAATATAGGACATATGATAAATTTCCTAAAAAAATAAAGGACACAAAGGAAAATTTTCAAATTTATACAGGACAGGGTATTGAAATACAGGACTGTCCGTTGTAAAACTACGCAGATGGTCACCCTAGCCTAAACACAACCTTATAAGTGTGAGCTTTTATTTGGATTAAAAGGGGGTCATTCATAGTTGACTTGCATCACCTGACTTGGATACCAAATCGAAAAATATTTAAAGTTGATAGGGTTTTTAAATGACAAGAACTCTTCCTCAAAGTTTTGAATGCTTCAAGGTTCAAGAGGAGAGATACTGATAGACGTAATAATTAAACTACCCCAGAAATAATTATTCCCCACAAAAACATATTTAATCCATAAATTTTGAATTATTACAGCTTTTCAAATCCACATCTCTAATGACGATATCAAATAAAACATAGAAAAATGAAACTAGAACAACATTACAACGTGTCAGTTCCCAGAATGTTCACATAATATCCTTGCAACAAAATAATTCAAGTTAATGAGTAATGCAACTCAAACAACGGAGGTTTATGTGTGCTGAAAATTATGGAAATGGAATGAGCTAACAAATAATTGCATAATATCCAATAAACGGATGTGTGTAATTATCATACTTACGTAGGAGCTGTCGGATGGATAATAAAATTGTTTCAATGGAAAAATGTTTTGTGTGACCTAGAAAGATGAGAAAATGAGGACTCAACATGCATGATAATAATATTAAGCATGTTCTTAGGTGATTTACTCGTGTTCTTCTGAATGTGATGCGTCTGATTAATGATCTGACACAGTTTGGAGGACAATGGAAAGAATAAAGGAAGTAAGGACATGAGCGACACAGGTGCATTTCGCAAGATTTGACAGCAAGAAATAATTGACACTAAATCGAATTTCTGCCTCCTTAGAAATTTGACAAGATTAATTGATAACTCATTAGAGGCCGCTCACTTATGACGTACAGAAGGGATACCTAGAAATCCATTGTTCTTTTTTGAAAAATAACCGTTACTTTAGGGAATGTTGATACCTAGCCCTTGACTTTAGAAAGGTTGACCTAAGTGTAGAGAATTTGAAATTAAAGGCACAAGCCTTTGCCTTTGTCGAAGGCTTGACTTTGCTAGATCAAAGTCAAAATCTGTGCAAAGGAAACTTCGTATCAACACTGACTTTAGGACGTAATATGTGAACGACTTTTTAGGTAAATCCACATTTTCATATCTAAAGACAGTCTTCTTTTCAAATTCTACAGCATGTAGGTACGTATTAATTATTTATCATAGTAAAGTTAAGCAGTTATCATGTAATTAAAATAAAAATCGTAAAACTTAATTGTAGAAAATTCTTTATTAATTTCGAATTCTTAAATTTGCAAGAATAATATTTTTTGAGACACAAAACTATTAATATTGACACATAAAGTATGCACGAGCTTCATAATTATAAGAATAACCTAAAAATACCATATTTTCTTCTCTTTTGTACAAAAATGAAGGAATAGTTGTTGGTGATGTCACTTTAGTTGGTCCCCAAGTTAATCCGCTGTAAAGTGGAACTGTCTGGTTTGTAAACAGCACCCATTGACCATTTACTTGAATACCATTTGATACGAATGTTGGTCCAGTTGTTGTGACATAATAGTTGACAAATTCCTGATAGCCAGCGACACTATCAGCATCCGATAGTTCATAAAGACGCATTCCATTGATTGCACAGAAGATTGTTGCATTTTCAACCGATTGTGGATTGCCTATAAAGACCCAAGATGTGCAATTCAAAGTTTAATTATTTTAATAAATGAATATTTACCAGCTATATAGCATAGCATCTTCAAATTAGCTTGAGATGCTGTTTTGATTTGATAAGTTGTTGTACAAACATCAACCTTTGGTGCTATAGTTGTTGTAGGAACAGTTGGAGCTACAGTTGTAGGAGCAAGTGTCGTTTCCTGAATTGGTGCAGCCGTTGTCACTTGAATTGGACCAGGGATTGTAGCAGGTCTAGAATTCAAAATTAATCATTAACCTACATGCTTAAAGAAGTCAATTTCAACTTACTTGGAACAAGAAGGAAAAATAATTGGAACACATTGGCAATTACATGGTGGACAGCTGAATAATGACAGAGTTTGGTTTACAGTTGTATTGGTTGAAGGTAACAGATCAACTATCACTAAAGCTTCTGTTGGAAGCACTAATAGTATGGAATAATAATTATATTTATTATAAATTATAGATTCAAGTTTCAATACTTACTCTCAGTTAAGAGAAAACTGAATAATAAAACTTTGAAGTAGATCATTGTGAACTTATCTTTTGAATATCGCTTTGCGAATCGATAATGAACTAACGAAATCCAGAAGCTTTTATACTAAACGATGCGTACAATACACATGTTCTTTATACACTTTCACCCACACATTTCTAGAAAGTAGCCGAAAAAACTGATGTGGATCTAAAAGCTATGCTTGAGTTGATACATTTATAGGCAAAAAGAGGGGATATGAATTAAAACTTCTGATGCCACATATTCATTTTTTGTTTTATTACTGCTTAACATTGTCTCTGACTTCATCCACGTACCCAAAGCCAACATCATCCTGAAAACACGTTTTGCAGTGCCTTTTTAATTACAAATGCTTTAAAGAGCTTCAAATCAAAGGCTTTGGATTTATGGAAAACTTGAAGTCAACTTGAGATTTTCATCGATTTTGTATGGCTGAGTCAACTCCAAATCGACTCGATTCCATACAAAATTTCATCGACTTCGAGTTCTGGATTTATGGTTGTTGAAACAAAATTATGATTTACTGGGCTGAGCTGAGGGGACCAACCTTGACTCGATCCTTTGCTAAGCGGTGCAAATTTTTGATTTGTTTCTTAGTGCTCATGCAAAGCAGAGCTTAAGGTGAATCGTTGTTTTATTATCACAAAAAAGCTAGGCTCTGTAAAGGGTTAATTTCAGCATTAAAAGTCACAAGGAAAGTCATGAATTACAATTGATCTGTACGACCAGCGAAGTAAGTAAGTTCAAGTCACAAAGAACCATTTTTCAAGCCCCAATTCTCATTATTTCACTAATTAGAGGTTAGGTACATTAGAAATGTGCAGTAATGTTGCATAGTAACATACATTTAGGGGTAAACATCCTTTTATTGACACATATCTTCTAGGTTTGAAAAATTTCGTTTTTTTTTCAAAACTCCACAAAAAAGTGTTACGTGACAAATGGCAAATTCTTTATTTGCATATATATTTTAATAAATTTTACATGTAACTTATTGAATTTTAGATTGAGAAGTGTTTTTTTATATATAACTATTGCACTATGGGCCAGAAATGGAAAATTTTTCCAAAAATTATTTCTACAGCTTATATGATAGTCCTTATTCTGCCCTACATTTACGTTCTTAAAACTTTGCCCAAGTCGACAGCGTGTCCGAGATATGGCACTTCAAAGTTGGTCAGACGACCATTTTCACGTTACATTGAAAATGCTCTCACCAGTCACTGGATGGATGAATCTCCTTCAATTTTTTTTTGGTAATAGCTTTAAATAGTTCCTTCATTTTAAGGTATAAACAATTGCAAAAAACTTTGGAAAATTTTGTGAAAAACTTGATTTTTCTCAAAAACCACGTGTTCGTCATACTTCCGTTTGTGTAGGTCTTCACAAGCACAACCAAAGTTACTAATTTCTTTTTTATATTAAAGATTACATCAAAAGCTATAACTTTTGCATACATGTCGTATAATTTTAACAAAGTTTTGGTAGTGAAAAAAATTTTTTTTATAAAAAAAACACCAATTTTTTGACAAAAATCGCTGTAGTGCTCCAGGGATACCCATGGTAGTGGAATTTTATTTCACATTTAGAAAGCTCTCTGGATATGCTATCAATTAATGCAGTAAAATGAACAAGTGTTCTCTTGGCAAAGAGCACTTTTTTGACTCTGAAAGTCGTATGTCGAGCAAGGTCAAAAAAGAAAAATAATCATAAAAATTTCAGTTTTAAGTAAAATTTAATTTTTTTAAGTTAGATTGATAGATCTTTTTAAAACGCGTCTTTTGAGTATAAATATGTCATAGTTTTGTCAAGTTTCATGATCAGTTTTTTAAAAAAATAGTTTTTTTCAAAAAAAAACTTGAAAAATAAAGTATTTGACTTTAGAATTTCATAAAATGCATTCTTTTTAACATTTTTTTCACTATTTTGTCTAGTTTTGCTCCTCGTTTTTTCCTAAACATAAATCAATAAGAACTTAACATAATTGAAGCCATTTGGAGGTTAAATTGAGTTAAAAATCGTTTAAAATTTTTGTATTTCTTAAATAGTTCTTTACACAAGTATCTAAGATATAAAGTGTTGCATAGTTTTGAAAAGGTATTAAAATTTCCAATATGTTAACATGAAAATTTTAGGAAAATTTTCAAGTAATATAGTCAATTTGGGTAAAAAACGCATTTTATATATGCTAGTTTTTAATGTTTTTCGTTTTTCTCAGCAAAGACTTTATGAAAAACTCTCAAAGTTTGCACACTTATTTGTTATATAAATGTTAATGACTCGTATAAGTTTTGGAATTTTCTATTGAGTTTTTCATGAGTTCTCCAAATCTGAAATTTTCAATATTAAAAATCCTTTTTTCTCAATAATTCCGATTTTTTATTTATAAATAAATATCTTATTTTGTTTCATTTTACAATATCTTTTCATTGATATGTAACAATCTACGAAAAAAAATCAAATTATTTAAAAGCTTTAAATTAAATCTTCAGGCTGCTATTAAATACATGAAACATTTATAACAAAACTAAATGAAAAAGTTTAATATTATAGCTCAAATAGCATTAAAATTAATATCTGGTTTTCTTCATATGGAACTGTCTTTTGTAGCCAACGTGAAGCTTATTTAACTTCAGTTGTGCTTATCGTTGACTCATACGAATTTTAATGGATGAAAGCAGATGAAAGTCTTAAGCTATAAATTTGCAAAAAGGTATAACACTCTTACAAAACTTAATAAAATTAACCAGAAAAGGATAAAAAATTAAAATAGCGTAGAATTTTCATAAATTTTTGACACTTTTTTTATTGATTCCTCGCTAGTCTTATTTTTTTCGTAGATTGTTACATATCAATGAAAAGATATTGTAAAATGAAACAAAATAAGATATTTATTTATAAATAAAAAATCGGAATTATTGAGAAAAAAGGATTTTTAATATTGAAAATTTCAGATTTGGAGAACTCATGAAAAACTCAATAGAAAATTCCAAAACTTATACGAGTCATTAACATTTATATAACAAATAAGTGTGCAAACTTTGAGAGTTTTTCATAAAGTCTTTGCTGAGAAAAACGAAAAACATTAAAAACTAGCATATATAAAATGCGTTTTTTACCCAAATTGACTATATTACTTGAAAATTTTCCTAAAATTTTCATGTTAACATATTGGAAATTTTAATACCTTTTCAAAACTATGCAACACTTTATATCTTAGATACTTGTGTAAAGAACTATTTAAGAAATACAAAAATTTTAAACGATTTTTAACTCAATTTAACCTCCAAATGGCTTCAATTATGTTAAGTTCTTATTGATTTATGTTTAGGAAAAAACGAGGAGCAAAACTAGACAAAATAGTGAAAAAAATGTTAAAAAGAATGCATTTTATGAAATTCTAAAGTCAAATACTTTATTTTTCAAGTTTTTTTTTGAAAAAAACTATTTTTTTAAAAAACTGATCATGAAACTTGACAAAACTATGACATATTTATACTCAAAAGACGCGTTTTAAAAAGATCTATCAATCTAACTTAAAAAAATTAAATTTTACTTAAAACTGAAATTTTTATGATTATTTTTCTTTTTTGACCTTGCTCGACATACGACTTTCAGAGTCAAAAAAGTGCTCTTTGCCAAGAGAACACTTGTTCATTTTACTGCATTAATTGATAGCATATTCAGAGAGCTTTCTAAATGTGAAATAAAATTCCACTACCATGGGTATCCCTGGAGCACTACAGCGATTTTTGTCAAAAAATTGGTGTTTTTTTTATAAAAAAAATTTTTTTCACTACCAAAACTTTGTTAAAATTATACGACATGTATGCAAAAGTTATAGCTTTTGATGTAATCTTTAATATAAAAAAGAAATTAGTAACTTTGGTTGTGCTTGTGAAGACCTACACAAACGGAAGTATGACGAACACGTGGTTTTTGAGAAAAATCAAGTTTTTCACAAAATTTTCCAAAGTTTTTTGCAATTGTTTATACCTTAAAATGAAGGAACTATTTAAAGCTATTACCAAAAAAAAATTGAAGGAGATTCATCCATCCAGTGACTGGTGAGAGCATTTTCAATGTAACGTGAAAATGGTCGTCTGACCAACTTTGAAGTGCCATATCTCGGACACGCTGTCGACTTGGGCAAAGTTTTAAGAACGTAAATGTAGGGCAGAATAAGGACTATCATATAAGCTGTAGAAATAATTTTTGGAAAAATTTTCCATTTCTGGCCCATAGTGTATTGTGTTGGCATTATTAAGAAATTGAATATTTGTTGTACGAATTTGATGACATGGACTTATTTAGAGCTTTCTGTAGATGGCTCGTGTAAAGGCAGAATTTTTACTTTACTGGAATAAAATGAGATCTAATCTTCTTTTAAATAAACTTAAACTATTATTCATAAATCCTGAAAAAGTTTATTTGTAAAAAATGCAGTTAATTACTGCAGAAATTTAAAATGATAAAACTTTTATATCATATCCTTGGCATTGATGACTGGCAATAAATGGAGAGAGTTTAGTATTGATATATTATTATGCTGCCTTGAAAATTTCATTAATAAAAATTTATTCAGATGTTTTTCGATAATAAAAGTTATTTTTATTTTAATCATCTAATACCTTGAGACACGTTTTAGATGTTTCATATCTGTTGACACTGACAATGAATTTTGAAAACCTTCATTATGAAAAAGGTGAAAACTTGTAAAATATAAAACACTCAATTGTACAGAAAAGACTCCAAAAACATATTTAATCCATAAATTTGAAATATTACAGCTTTTCAAAACCACATCTCTAATGACGATATCAAATAAAACATAGAAAAATGAAACTAGAACAACATTACAACGTGTCAGTTCCCAGAATGTTCACATAATATCCTTGCAACAAAATAATTCAAGTTAATGAGTAATGCAACTCAAACAACGGAGCTGACAATTATGGAAATGGAATGAGCTAACAAATAATTGCATAATATCCAATAAATGGATGTGTGTAATTATCATACTTACGTAGGAGCTGTCGGATGGATAATAA